TCTCCATATAGTACCACAACGAGCCTATTTTCCATCTATGTTTTTTTTTATACGGACGTTGTGCTCCATTAGTGACCCGTATGAAACTCCGATGAAGCCGACTCCCCGGGACTGCTTTCGCATTTTATCAGAGAGGGGGAGTGTTCTGCCGAATGCGCTTCGAGGAAAGCGTATCTTCTCTCATCATTATTTCTTTACTAAAGGATTTTACTACAGCCCAGGCCTTATTGTCATTTAACAAATATGATACCAAATTTTCAGCGCTCGGATTAGTCAGATTCAAATTCTTCAATTCGTTGCTTTTAGCCGAAAAAGACGGGCATTTAAAGAATATATACTCGGCAGTTTCCGGTATACTACACATTAACCAAATGATACTGTATCAACATGGCCTTACAGAAATACTGTCTGAAACAACCATATCCACTCAGAAGTTGGGTAATATAAAAATTTACTTCGCCCTGTAATCTGACTCGCAATGAGTATAAAAGTCCAGCGACCCGCCGTTATTGCCATTAGCTGGATCTTTTTTGGAGTTCGGCCGCGGTCTCGAGTTTAGAGAGGAATCTGCCTTTGAAACGGGACGTCAAATAGGTGCGCAGGCATTATACCAGCAAACAAGCAGCCTTTTTTACTGACCGTTTCAATGTATATTAAGTATGATAACCTAGCATACATCATCACACCTAAGTATCTTACTGCTGGGATGGTCTCACACTTGCATTCAGTCCCACATTTTTCTCCCTACTTGTTAAAAGAATCCACACCTTCAGTTTTCCGAATAGCCAGCTACCCTTAAGCCATTCATCGATCAAGTTAGCAGCATAACTTCCGCTATGACAGTTAGCGCAATATCATATACATAGCTAATTATTTAAAGACCTTTTGGAACAGGCAGGCGTGAGACTCCATCGTAGGCAATGATCCACAGCAACGGACCAAAGACGGAATCTTGATGAACACCTTTGTAGCACTCCTATAAGAAAGAACTCTATTGCACAGATAACTATTTATTTTTTACGCTTATCAAGTATCCTGGGGTGTTGCATTAATAACACAGGTCAACAAAATTATGGAAAATCCCAGATCCTAGACTATCTATTTCCTATGCAATTTTTTGCGCTGAATCTAAATCCCGTGTCCGAAAATAATTTAAAGCCGAATAAATGCTCTTTGAGGTAAAACTTGTGTCACTATTCTCGATTTATATAAGTTTTTGAAATGATCCGACCCTTTAGAAATGTCTACCAAGCTAAAGTGAAATTCGAAACTATTGGTTTCAGTTAGAGATTTTCGAAAATGCCCGATGCAACGATAAATTTTGTTTACTCAAAATTTTACCTAAGCGTGAAAATTTCGTTATGTTAATAAACTGAGGGTATATAAATACATATGCAGGACACAACCGGGCCTAAATATACCACCGGGGTTTTTTCCTTGATTCGAACAACTTTGTTTTTGTTAATAAGGCTGAAAGTGGCCGCTAACAATATTTTCGCAAATAATGGTTTATTTGGACCTTTGACACTTGCACTTAGATCGATGGGATCTTTTGGTATATAGTATATACATATGTATTTACATACGTATCGATAGATATATGTTATTTAAAACAATGAAAGGAAAATCCAAGCAAAAAATTCCTCTACTTATTACGAAGCTTGACTATTTTGTCTTAATTCCCTGGAAAACTTCAAATTCAAAAATTTCAGGCAATAAGCGATGGTCAATTTCATCTTCAATCGCAATTAAGTAGCATTTTAATTGCCCTTATAAGAATTATAACCCTGAACAGTAACCTAGGAAAAAAACTGGCATCATTCTGTGTAGTTGCACACCCATACATGCATACATACGCACATACGTTTATACATACATACTTGTAAAGATATTTGTACAATATCGTTGGAAATTACCGCATAGTCCAATGAAAATTAATAAGATAACTTCGTGATCTATTTTAATGGCTTTGAATGCAATTAACCTCTAAATTATCCATTCCAACCGGGTAAGAAGACAACACAGCAAACTAAAAAAATTAAAAACTTAAAAAAAATACTATGTACGTTTAATACTAAGCTAACCCACCACACAATGAGAACGAGAAGAACTAAAAACAACTACGACCTCGACTTTAAAATGCTGCCCCATTCAATTGCTGATCGTGAAACGGGCTACCGCAGTTGCACCACCACCGCTGCTGTTGAACGCCCCTTTGATCGACTATTTAGAATGCAATTTTATTAGCCGCTTTCGATTCGCCACTTCTCTGCTCGCTATGTTTTAGTTCAGCTCGTTTAACGAAAATTTTTTATGCGAAAGCAACAACAAGATATCTTTGTAGCAAGTAGTGATGGACGTTGGCAAGTTTGGTTGTACCGCATTGATTTCGTTCGTTTCGCTACTCGCTAACTGTTGGCGAATGGATGGCGGCTTTTGTTT